AATTTTAAATAGAGAACATGAAAAAATCGTATTGTCTACTTATCTAACAAGATGTCAGACTATCAGGGTTTAGATTACAACTCTTCTTATTGATTGTGGCCTGTTCTTTATTCTTTTCATATTATTTGGAAGGAAAGCCAAAAATTGTTGAAAGCAAAAAACACCTTTATTGAAGGCATGCCATTAAAATCTATCCCTATCCATATAAAACTACTCACTATGCACGTTCACCGTTTCTACATTTATTTTTCCTTGAGCTGATTTTGCAGACTCTGGGGCATTATGATTGTGACTCTGGACATAAAAATGCAGCATTCAGTGCTTTGGTATATTGTGGCATTGTGTGCACCAATTGTTGACCTTCTTGACTGACCTCTGAGGGAACAGAGTCAAAAAAGAGGAAGCTATTATAATAGCTGTGTCAGACAATAAATTACTTTATAATCTTGCTCTGCCGTCTCTTTAGAAAGGAGTCAGGGTATGTATAAACTGCACACTCAGGGTACTGGCAAGGGGGTAACAAGAGTAACAACAAAAAGTTGGTCTGAAATGATCCTCTTTTGTTTAGTTTAAATGCCTGTTTTAAGGTTTAGAAAGAAATAAAGAGGAGAACTGGATCCTGGAGGATTTTGGGTAAATCTCTCTTAAAGTCTTATTGTTTCTCTGAAGTGTTGTTGTGGGTGTATTTCACTGTATCAATGGTGACAACTGGCCTAGCAAGAATTATTACTTCACCCTACCGCTCTGCTGAGAGAAGTTAGTCTCTGATTCCACATGCTAATGTCTGATCTTTTCCATGGCATCATGAGTTTTCTCTACTGGACAGCTTCTTTTTTTGTTTGACATGTTGATACATGACTGCAATACAGGCCATCTACTTGCTGTAATTAAGATCCAAAATATATTTAGTGTGTCATCAATCTTGCCTAGATTACCTACCATCCGTCATTCGAGGTCTATAAAACCTAAATAGGTTCTTCTACAATTGAATTGCATTTTGATTAACTTTTTTTTTTTTACGAAGCTCATTTCTTTAGCCAATTTTTTCAAGACTTTACAAGTGGCTTTGTTCAAACAGCATTGCCTGTAACTCTTTTTTCGACCCTTAAAGTTTACCAAACCTTTGTATCAGCCACCTCTGACAACTGGTTTTGTGCCCAGTCAAGTGTCTCTTACCTGTCATGATTTGCTTGATTTCTGTTTCGATTAATAACACTGTTTGCATTACATCTAGTCTGGGATACTCCAGACATTCCTACTGCTGTGCTAAAGAGGCACAGAAACCATATTTTGTATGCTACTCAGGTGAGTTTTAGCTCCTTAAAGCTGCACTAATCAGTATACACAGTTGCCTGTTTATGCACCCAGTTAAAACCAGTGCATTCTAATACAACAGTGCTGCAAGATCCTCCCTTCATAAAGGTCATAATGTTCAGTTTTTATGTTGCCAGTCTCAGTCATGTGACCGTGCTCTCTCTGGAAAACAACGCAAAGGAGCCAAACTCACGGCAACAATCTGGCAGCTTTCTTGTTGGGGTTAAAAAACATGTTCATGGGTCAGGAAGTTTAGAAACCCTTCTATAATAGAATACTAGCTTCAGTCCAGGAGGAAAAAGCTGCTGCCTCAGATGAATAAAATAACAACGTCTGCTGGCAAGTATTATTTTATGTATCAGTTTAACAGTTTAACTTATCTGTCAAAAAAAAAATTATGTTAATAAATTCAGCACAAGTCTCAGCACAAGTTCTGAGAAATCTGGAGAAATCCTCAATTGCTGTGATCAACTAATTAAAAACTTCATTAATCATTTCAGCTAAACAACATTTGCCAATGTGTGTTGCATTCAAATACAAGTCACGAAGGTTTTCTGAGTCACTTAACACATTTTGTACCACAAATACTGAAAAGTTGTGACTCCCTGCTGGTTTCTGTCTTCACTCTGAACAGAAATCATCAGATCACCACATGAGAGGGAAAAATAAAATTCAAAGAAGTTAAACTTATCAGCTGCAGTGTGAATGGGGCCCACAAGTCCACAATCTGGTTTGACTTCACTTCAAGGTTAAACAAAGACAAAACATCTGATGCTTTGTTTGACATGCTGAGGTCCAGATTTACATCAGACCTTTCAGAAACAACACTTGGTTGGTGCACAGTGAGAAGTACTAAAACACATCACTATGTGCTGCAAATATCGCGTGATGAGCAGCTCAAGCTGGCAAACCATTAACTGGATGTGTTTTCAGCAAAGACCAGTGAAAGCAGCCACCTCACACTGTTCTCATTTAAATTAGCTTAAACTCCATGTGTGTGTGTACTAGAAAAGTATCATACCAACAGTTTTTGATGGTGTTACACTCTATGGAGACTCTTTATTTCAGACCCTAAGTTACTTCCTGGAGCTCTGTTTATGCAACTGGTCAGCATCCCGAACTTAGGTCCAACACAGGAACCAAAATCACCGGCCAGTTTTCTTATCGGCCTCCATCAGAAAGCGTAGGTGGAGCTGAGCAGAGCGTCGACTGAGAAGACTACAGATTCTCCCCGTTTCTCCAAAATTAATTTCCAGTATGATTGCTGGTGGGAAATCTTCTCCACATAGGAAGTTGAGTCAAAACATTGAAATAGGTTTCAGGAATCTGTCCAGATGTAGACTGGACACTGACAGATCAACTGTTGTGATCAAAAGTCATAACAAGAAAATATTACTCAAGACCTGGAATGACACGTGAACAGTGGTTTGGTTCGCTGCCTTCCTTTTTCAGACCCTCAGCAAATTTATTCATAAAAAGTGACTATCGATAGACTATCGACTTATTTTGGGGTGAAAGTGAGAAATATAAAAATGTCTATTATATTGTAGGCTAATATATTTCCTTGTATGCTCCTCAGAGCAGAAAGTACAATTGATCAGTTGAAAATATATATATATATATATACACACACACACACACACATATACACACCAAGTAAGTCTTTATACCAGGTAGAGTCGAGGCTGTACACTTCTAGATTTTTTTTTTTTTTAGATATAGCCTATATCTTAATTAAAAAAACTAACAAACTTTCAATCCGTTCAGCGAGCATGGTTGTAGTCCTTAAACCAAAAATGAAAAAAGTAGCGGGAGAAAAAATGCCTTGCATTAATAACTGAAAACATTCACTTTTGAGATGGTGAACAAACATCAAACCCAGTTACTAAACATCCCTCAAAAAACTTCAAAATGCCTCAGTAACCCCATAAACTACACAGACACCCCTTAATAAAAACCCAGATCCAATAAATGTCTGAATTTAAACCCACAATCATGAATGGCTGAGGGACAAAACAGCACTTAAGGTTTGCTTTGGTATTTATCTTAATCTGAGAAGTAAAAGATTATATAGATATAAACAAAGGGGTTCTGTTTCCTGAATTGTAAAAAAGTTCAGATAACCTCAGACTACACAGGGCTGTGAATTGATTTTTTCTTTTTTAATTAAATGTCCCAGGGTTTACAACTAGTGTAAGGAAATAACTTAAGGTAGAAAAGCACTCCCCCCACATACTTTGTTTTAAGTCCTGGGTTTCAGACAGCAAAGTGAGAAGTTTATTTAGAAATGCCACTAACCTGAGACTCAAAAGATTTGTTCGGTAAAATCAACACATCACCTCCCCTTAGCATACACACATTCAAACACATACTTGACATACAAGGCAAAAAGTAAATTAACATGTTCAGGATGTTGAGTATCATAATTCCGTCATTTATTCGTATATAAAATCCTTTTTGGTTTTCTGCAGGGATTTTGGGCAACACATGGTATTAAATCACACTTTGATGTGTTTTATTTGAGTTTATTTACTGTGCATTACATGTAACATACAATAAATCAGTACATGTGGCTGGTAGGACAACTATGTGGCCATTTACAATCACACTGTTCCAATCATTTGTCTGTTTTTTGCACACTCAAGACAATTTTACAATTTTAAAGAATTTGAAAAATATATTTTCTAGCAACTTCTTACATTGTGTATTTGTCTGTCTGCTGCTGGTGTAGACGAGGCTCCCCATTGACATCACTGTTCATTACTGGTGGCTAAAAACAACTTAAGAAATTTGCATTTTTGATATACAGCATAATCATCATTCCATTCCTATATTTATTGTACATTATCGACTCTGGGAAGTAATTTTACGCTTCAAGAGTGAACCTAAAAACATCTGCAGGACAGGTGGTTAAATGGTAGTATGTGCTACACAGGACCAGAGTTGAAAGAAGTGCTGAAATCTCTCACATAAAGTCTCCACACTCACAAACAGGTGTTTTCACTTTTCTGATTATACCTCCTGTCTGGACAGTGTGGGCAGGACACACAAGGTTTATGGGAAAATGTGGCACTGTATATTTGTTTTTCTGTATGGATTGAAATTGATTACTAATCATATGACAACTGAATGTACTTTCTTTATTTTCGTCAGAAACACAAGGATGTACTGAGACTACGGCTGCCCCACATCTCAGTGATAAACACAAATTCACACACTGTATATTGCACGTTTTAGAAACTGCTGGACTGATCACAGCAGCCTTAGCCGCAGTTTTCACCAAACAAAGACAACTGACATTGGTTGGGGCTGGGAAAGCCAATGAGGGTTGTCATCATTGTTGCTGCACTTATCAGGCTCATTTTCGAAAATTCATCATCTTCATTCAGTCAATTTTAAAAAGGAAGAAAACAAACAGGTTCAATGGAGAATTTAAATTGTTACTTCAGTAACAGATTTTATAACAGCCATTCATGTTCCTTGTTGAGTTATCAGCAGGATTATAAAGTTTTGTGACCCTTTCAGACAAATGCACTAACACTGCTTTCAGAGGGACTCGGATCTCTTTAAAAGGAATGAGCTCCTGCAATTGAAACACTGGTTGGAGATGAAACAGTTATCCTCAGCCTCTAGTAATAAAATATCAGATTGTTATGAGACAGGACAGAACGGACCCAAACGCAACGCTCAGTGGGAAGGAGGTTTATTGAGATTTTACAGAGGGGCTAGGGGAGAGGAGATGGAGGTGAGGTGGATGCCGGGGAACGAGGAGCAGGCGGTGAGGCGAGGAGCGGGTGGGGGAGCCGTTGAGGAAGCCTGAGAGGAGAGGACCGGAGGACGAGCCCAGCCGACAGAACGGTGGACGAGAGTGAGTGAACATGGGAGGGAGAGCAGAAAGACAGAGTTAACACAGGAAATAACTGGGGGAAGGAAAAGAGAGATAATTTCTGAGGTTAACCAGAGGTTGGCACCAGGTTGGGAGCAACGACGATCAAGCGAAGATGGTGTGGAGAACCGGGGTTGATGTACAGGCAGGGATGAGGTTGATTACTGGCAGGTGTGGCAGGAAGGCTGACGAGGTGCGGGTCGTTGGCTGGGCTCAGGAGCGGAGGGAGAGAGAGGAGGAGAACACGCAGGGGAGGAGATACAGGGAGGCAAGCAGAATACAGGAGAACAAAACAGTGGGGGAAAAAAAGAACGAGAAAAAACCAGGACACTCACCGTCAGCCGGGCTGGCCCCACAACATCAGATGGTAAATGGACTGTACTTGTATCGCACCTTTCTAGTCTTCCGACTACTCAAGGCACTTCACATTAAGTGTCACATTCACCCATTCACATGCATTCATAACACTGGTAGAGGCAAGGTGTCAACTGCTCATCAAGTGTGAGTTTAGAAAGTATTTGTGAGTTTCAGATGAAAATTGAATTACGCATATTTAGAAAGATGTGAATAACAGGAGCCTAAATTAAAAACAGCTTGATAACAGTTTTCTATTCTGTTTTATGAGGTATTTGTAGGGCTGCAGTTAACAATGTTTAAGTTTACGTTTAAGAAGTACTTTTGCTTGACAGCGGCATGTACAATGATAGATGATAAATATTTAGTAGTCCTTTCAGAAATTCATAGTGTGTCATGCAGCAAACATCAGACCAACAACTAGACAACTGCTTTACCAACACAAACATCACCCGAGTGCTGTAAGTTATACTAAGGTCATGACTGTGACGTTACAACCCAAACTGGCCCACCCAGGAGAACAACAAACGCATGTGTATAAATTTACAGCTGAGGATTGTGACTTACATTACTTCAACTCGTTGTCTATGAAGATTCTCAGTCATCCAGGTCATAGTTATCCAACCAAGGTTAAAATCAAGGGCAACTGGACTTGGTTGAAGATACTGGAAGATGTTTCGTCCCTCATCCAAAGGACTTCTTCAGTTCTGACTGACTGGCAGGGAAACTCAGCTATTTAACCTCAGTGGGGTCGTTGGCCCGGGTCATCGATACAGCTGGTTCGTTAGTGTTCCTTGTTGCTGTGACGACAGTCGTTACAGTCGTTAGGACTACCTGTGGCCAAGACTGAACGACCATCGTTGGTATCTTCACCTGAGGCCAGTAGGTTACGTTTGTTGAGTTTCCTGGGAAGTGATGAAAGGACAGCATTGTAAGTGGGGGGATAAGTGGTGGCGTAGACCCCCTCCCCTGTTCAATGACGGCTTCTCAACCCTGGTGTAGATGCTTCCTTGACACCTCTTTCAAACCATCTTCTCTGTCTAAAATGTGCACCTGGTGGTCCTCAAACGAGTGTCCTCTGTCCTTCAGATGTAAGTAGACTGCAGAGTCTTGACCTGAGGAGTTGGCCCTTCTGTGTTGAGCCATGCGTTTGTGTAGTGGTTGTTTAGTCTTCAGTATGATTGCTGGTGGGACTTCAACTCAACAATCAATCATGATTTCAGTTAAATGCTAATTTAAAAAATTGCTACTGTTACCTTGTCATAATCACGTTGTGTTCACACAGGTAAGTGCGATGCTAGACAGTAATAAATGTCCGTGCGAAACAGTGTGCTATATAGTTATATGGATTAAACGAATAGCACGCCTACCGGTGGCGTTTGTCCATGTCTCCCAAAACGGCAATATCAAACTCTGTTTCCTGACTGCCCACTTCAAACAAATAAGGTGCTTTTTACCAGCAGTATTATCTTTACAAAGTAGCAATAAAATATTTCATATAAATCTTAACTTAAATATAATATAATCAAATAAAATATAAAACCAAAGCTATGTAACACTGCCAGGGTATTCATTACCTTTTATGGCTTGTTAAAACAAGTTAGGCTCCAGAGCCACAATCATAACATAACAGGCACCTTCTGAGCAACAGTTTAACATATGAATCTGTTTTCTTTTCTTTTTTTCTGAACAGGTATCAGCAGAAACATTTTTATTTTATCAGTTAGTAGCATAAACAGTCTATGTTAGCAAGTGTCCCTATTAGAGTGAGGTGAAGTGGCTGCGGTCACACACACCCCGCTGCCGAAGTTGAATTGTTGAACTTTTGTAAGCAACGCACTGCACAAATCAATTGAAAGAGAGACTGATCCTCGCTGTTTGTGAGTTTCCAGAATCTTTTACTGTTTAATAAATAGGAAATCAACAGGAGGGAATTCGCGCGGCAGAGCTTCCCTGCAAAACTAGATGAAGGACTATCAGGTAAAGTTATGTAGCCTATATTTTTAAGTTAAGTTAAATAGGCTACAGCTGTGTAGCCCAGAGAAGCCATTGCCACGGTTACTCTCCATAGAGTGGCTGCTGTTTACTCGCGGAGCGCTGTCTCCCTTTCTGATCACCGGAGCAAAGAGCAACCCCGCAGGGCCGACTACGTGGTGATTTTAAGAACATTGCTAATCATCATGCAGTGTGTAGCTATCCACCTCACTATGGCATTTGATTGCTTGTCTTGCTTTTGTTTATCTACTTCTCCCACACACTGCATCCAGCGTAGTCTACCGAAGCCTCCCTCCGCTGCTTGTTTGGATGGCTGATTTGCAGGCTGATCAACATCATGTCCCCCCCCCGTGACCCACGGTTTGACTGTATGTGTATTCAGAGCCAGTGAGCAACGGACTTTCAAAATAAAAAGCCCTAAAAAGCCCTACAAAATGACCTCCAGCAGGCTACTGATGTGCATGTTTCTGTCCAAACGGGCAGTACCATGCAGCTTGATTGGCATTCACCAGAGAACACCAGTATTGGAAGGTCCACCATCGGCCACCTGTTATGTTCACAGATGAGAGCAGGTTCACATTGAGCACATGTGACAGACTGAATGAGTCTGGAGACGCCATGGTTAACCATATGCTGCCAGCAACATCATCCAGCATGACCGGTTTGGCAGTGGGTCAGTGATGGTCTGGGGACATATCCTTGGTAAGATCCTTGGCGAGTCGCACAGACCTCCACATGCTAGCCAATGGACCCTGCTCCAATTTCTCAGCCAAATAAAAATCACAAGGACACCAGTGATAAAGATGCAAGGCAGCTGGTGTGACTATTGGATTAGTCCAAATTGTTTTTTTTGAATTTCCCAGAAATCCTTGAGTGAGGACACAAGCATTGTCCCAGTTCAGGATCCTCCAAAGTCCAGATTTCTGGGTGGAGTGCACCATTAAAGGGCTGGAGAGGTCTCCCTAAATTCAAGGGACTCCTTAACATTGTTTGCCAGTTGTCCATCCTTTGTTGAAGTGAAATAGCACAGCCTACCATTAAACACGGAAAGATTTGATTTATGAGTTGATGAATATCCAAGAGCACCATTAGCACTCTCTGTGAAGCTACACGGACTCATTTTTTCAAAGGCAGAGCAGAGTGAGCCTGAACTGCAGGACACACACAGGCAAAGTACCACAGAGGATCCCGCTCCTGTATTGAGACACAGTGAGAGGGTGGAAAAGATTTGTAATGTATCACGCAATAAGAAAGCTGCCCTCAGATGGAGCTTTAATGAGCCATTCAGGTCTGGCCAGTGTTCTTAGACAGCTCATTATTCCCTGTGTGGCTGGCATCCCACCAGATCTACATCTGCAGCAAAACTGGCTTTCGTTCTCACATCTTGGCCGTCCTTTGTCCCTCTCTGCCCTAGTACAACTGTCAGTGAGCAAAGCCCGCGTCTTATATCGGGTTACACAAAAACAATCTTTCTAAATGAAAAGTGAATGCAGGCCTTGGAAAAAGCTCTGGGGTATGGGGGTTATTATGAATGAACTGTGGAAATCAAGTGAGCTGTTTTAAAAGTGAGAGACTGAAAACCCCATTTTCTTATGTTTTATTGTTTTTTATATGATGAGTGGGGTGCACTTTACATCAGATGTTTCATGTGTGGCGTAATTTAAAGCATGAATGTATTCGAGTTAACAAAATCGGGGGCCAGACATACAATTAAGTACGTCATTAATAACTCAAAAGTGCATTTTAGGCCAAACTTCTCTTCTACTTCTCTGTGTAAGGGATTCTGCTAAATAATCGTATTTTAAAAATAAATGTAAAGGCAATTCTCATAAGAAAGGTTGTAACTAGGTCAAAGGTAGTTTTGAGCAGATTTTTTTTTTATTATCTTCAGTAATTTCAATGTCTTCAAAACATTTACATCTGGTCTTTTAACAAATTTGTTCTTTCTCAAAACCAAACCTTCCATTCCATTTCATAATTTCATAAAAATAACATTTTCATGTCTCATTATATATTCTGACATGTTCCTGTTGCATCAGAGTCTCTTAAACAAGTGTCAATTGACCAAATGTCCCAAAAGGAACTGAATGGTTTCTGTGTGAGAGTGTGTATGGGGAATTCAGTCTCAAACTGATGAGACTGGAGGGTGTGTTGAAGAGACGTTAGAGTTCAGGCTGGGAGAAAAGCTAATGTCAAACAGAGTGGTAATATGAGACAATTCTGTGTTCTTAAAATGGGGAAAAAGGAGTGAGATTAATTATTATTATCAGAGGGGTAATGAGGAAAAGCAAGAACATTATTTCTTGGTTGGCAGCTGAGACACTTCTCAACCATTCGAAACCAAAAGAGTCATCAATTCAGTAAAAAGATCCAACAATATGATTCTTCAAGTAATGACCTGTTCCAATCCAACATCACAGGAGCCAAAAGGTTAAGGGAACTATCTAGCCTACTCTTGGTGTTTGCTGGCAACGGCCGTCCTGTTATTTGACGGTTCAGGGATCTTCACAGCTTGCTGTGTCTTACAACAGACGAGAGTGAAAATGGATATAAACTTGCTTGGCTTATAGTTTACATATGGCTCTAAGTTCTAAGTCATGGCACTCTTCCCTGCAATGTGTCTGTCCTCTTTCTTCTCTGCTATGCCGCTCCCACTCCCTCACAGGCGTTAGCAATCCTCTGCTGTGCAGTAAAGGAGCAGTCTGCTGTTTCTTTTGGGGCTGGCTGTTACAGAAAGAAAAATACACTGTTCATGTGATTAGTCTGAGAAG